CTTCCACTCGACCTTCATCACTTTAAAATTTGCTACAGCTTGATAGTTTTTAGTAAATTTTATTACAATATTAACAACTATAAAATTTTTTAAAAAAACTACTTTAGCACCCCAAAAAAGTGAAAAAATAAGTGAACAAGAAAGTGCATGAATAGATTTAGCAACAACTGGTACTCTAATATTTGCAAAAAGATATAAAGGAGAAGCTAATCAATATGATGTAAATTCAATGTATATATTTGAAATAATAAAAAAAAATGCATTATGGCCAATTGCATCAGGTAAGTTTCATACTATAAACTCATCTTTTACAGAAAAATGAAGTAAATTTCCATATGAAATTTATAAAGCAACAATAGAAGGAAATTCTCCAAAGAAAAGTCTTCAATGTATGAGATATTTACGTTATAATCTACATGGAATTTACACACATTATAATTTAGAATGTGCATGAAAAAATGGATTGAAAGTAATATTAATGAATATATCACCAAATGCGCTTATTTATGAAAGAAACGTATATATAACAGGAAAAGACATGTTTGGTGAATGGGGTAATATATTATACAAAATTAAAAAAGAGAGTGTAATAGAAGGAAAAGTTAGTAAAGCATTATTAGTTTCATTATAGGGTGCATTATGTGAGCAAAGAAATGGACAAAATTATGGTTTACATTCATGAATAAAACCATTCTTATTAGTATCTGCATGAAAAAGAATATTAGAAATTGTGAAGCCACTAGGAAATCAAGTAAAATGTATACATACAGATAGCTTTATTATAGCTGGAAAGTAGAACTTAAAACGGAAATAGAAATAGGTGAGCTGAAATTTGAGAAAAATGGAGTTTGTGTAGTAAAAAATTGTATATCAATTATATGGAAACTGTCATATTCAGAAATTCCAAATTTGATTATTTTCAAAGAAAATGAGCTTCACTCTACAAATAGTTTACCAGATTTTGAGAAAATACAACAAGATAAAAAGCAGAATACAATATTAAATACAGAGTATTCTGCTTTACAGACAGCAAAAAGAAAACTATTAAAAAAGTCTAATATAAATCTTCTGAATAAAATTATAATAGAAATATTTCAACATTTACGAACACAAAATAAAAGATTATGTGGTAATAATGAATTATTGTTTCTAGTTTTATATGTTAACAAATGATGGAATGAATGCACAACATATTTAATATAGAAAAGAATTAAATTATATAAATATAATATTAGAAATTTTGTCGAAATAATAAAAAAAAAACTATTACCGAATGCGATAAAATATATAAAACAGATAGAATTCAAAAGAATAGATAATTATTTTAATATGAATGAATTTCTATTAGAAGACATTACAAGTATATGCCAATATATAATAATTATATCATTTAAGGATTGTGGTTGGGAATTTCTTAACAATAGTTCACTAAAGATAACATTGGATACATGCAAGAATCTAAACCATATATTTATCTATGAAAGTAATCGAATAGCGCCAAAAATTATCTTAAGTATACCAGAAAA